TGTGAACTTGCTTATCCGGTCGAGCTCGCCCATGATGACGTCCAGCAGCCGAGCCTCAGGCGTCTTCTCGGGATTGGGGCCTCGGAGCAGGAGAGCAAGAGGAAGAGGAGGATAGAAGAATAATAAGAAAACGCACTAGACATAAACTTTTGGCGCGCAGCGCGCCAGGGGCGGCGCCAGAGGCGCCGCAAGGGGGCCCAAGCGCCGGTCCAAGAAACCCGCGCGGAGCGCCAAAAGTTTGTGTTTATGGCGTTTTTCTTCTTCGAAAGAGGAGGAGGAAAGGAGGAGGAGGAGGAGGAGGAGGAGGAGGAGAGAAGGAGGAGGAGGAGGAGGAGGAGGAGGAGACGGAGGGAGGAGGAGGATGAGGGGAGGAGGAGGAGGAGGAGAGGAGGAGGAGGAGGAGGAGGTGAAGGAGGAAGGGGAGGAGGAGAAGGAGGAGGAGGAGGAGGAGGAGGAGGAGGAGGAGAGGAGGAGGATGATGAGGAGGAGGAGAAGGAGAGGGAAGTAAGGACCTAGGCGAAGGAAGCTGGAAGTCCAGTGGGTCACCTCCTGCACCGTGCTCTGGTCGCGATCCTGTCCAGTGAACACCTTGACGGCCTTCTTCAGCTCCTGGCCAGGGGCCGACCAGAACAGCGCTCTGAGCTCTTGATCTGCTCTCGCTCTGGACAATACGGTCAACCCGTAGAATAAGGACGCACGACAAGGATGAAAGGGCCTTGGAAGGCCATGTCGACAGTTTGTGAGCGGGGCGCGGCCAGCGAAAGCGGCCAAGGATGGAACGAAGGGGAAGGATGCGAGCGTAACCTTGGAAAGTCGCTTTTCCTGACTGTGCGGGCTGACTGTACGAGGGGATCGGAGGAGGGCCAATCGAGACAACGGCGGCTCTCCCGCCCACCCCACATTAGATTTAGGTCGGGCGTGTCCTCCTACAGCCGCATTTTGGGCCAAAAATTACATGTACTCCAAAATGTTCCAAGCATATTCAAAAAAAACCCTCCCCAACAAAAAGATCATCCCCTGACTGTTGTCTACTATCCTTAACTACTCCTCCTGTAGAGGGACAGGCCCGACTTCACATTGGCTCGAGAACGAGACGAGCACGACAGCGGCAGGCCCGAGCTGGATCGAATATCGCGAAGCTGGACCGTATCAGAACCGGGCCGCATCGCCAACGAGTCGTCCCGAATCGAATCGACATCGGATCGCCGCGCCCGGCTCTGGCTCACCCCGGCCGGTGCTGGTGAATCCCACCAGCCCTTTGGGCGTGAGTGGTTTAGAGAGCCCGCTCTGTTCTCAACCCCCTTCTTCCCCTTCGGGGAGGGGTTTACCCCTCCCCCTACCCCCTCCCCCTGGGCCTGGAGAGGGCGTCCCGCGGGTCGTTGGAGGGGTCTTTTTCGACTCCTGGGAGGGCTAAAATTCGACACCCCTCACGAGGATTCTGGCCCCGACGGGGGGGGGGAGAAAAGTGCTCGCCCCATCTGTGATCGATCGCCCGAAAGATGGCCCCAAGATACCTCCCAGACCCCTCCCAAAGAGCCCCAAGAGGCCCCAAGAGGCCTCCAAGAGGCCCCCAAGATGCCCCCAAGAGGCCCCCAAGAGGCCCCAAGAGGCTCCCCCGAGGCACCCAAGACGCTCCTGGAAGCCCCTGGGGCCGCCAAGAGGCCCCCAAGACGCCCCAAACGGCCTCCAAGAGGCTCCCAAGAGGCCCGAAGAGGCTCCCCCAAGGCACCCAAGACGCTCCTAGAAGCCCCTGGGGCCGCCAAGAGGCTCCCAAGACGCCCCAAAAGGCCTCCAAGAGGCTCCCAAAAGACATCCCAAGAGACTCCGCGATGCATCCAAGAGGCCTCTGGCCGTTCTGCTCGTCCTCCCCTTCTCGTCCGCCTCCCCCTCTTCCTCCTCCCTCCTCCCCTACCCCACCTCCTCCTCCGATTCCTCCTCCATCCTCCCCTCTTGGGATATGGCGGCATCCCCTGTCCTTCGTTTCTCTGTGTGCTCCCACACTTCCCTGATCGAATCAAAGCAACTCCCCTGGGAATCATTGCTGAAAAGATGATCAACAAATCCCGACAGTCGGCACTCTTTGCTAAAGTGGCTGTTTTAGGATGGGCTGGTGGGGATTCGCGAAGCGTGAACAATTTTAGGTGGGACCGACCGTCCTAGCATTCGTATAGGCCTACCACGACATGTTCCCAGAACCCAGCAACTTTCTGAGAACAAGAACAATGTCCTTAGAACCGAAACCCGATGTGTTAAAACAAGGCTGTCCCAGCCAGAAATGTTCTAAGAACATGTCTTGCAGATCACAAAAGGTTCTTGAAACATTCTTTGGTGGGCCTATAGGCGAGCCAGAACGCTTCGCCACTGCTTGAATCGAATCGAAAACGGATCGAATCGGAATCGCAGCCATAGACCGAGGATCGAATCGCATCGAATCGGACCGTAGGCGGCCACGAGAAGCCTGGAAAAGGCTGCCGAGGGGGCGCTCTGGTCGGCCGCCTCACTGTGGACCATCTGTACCCATGGCAGGTTGACGTCGCGCAAAACGACTGCCTTGGCTTCAGACACTGCGCGTATCGTTCAACATTGAGCGCGATCGCGGAATTCCGATGGCACAGACCTTTTGACATCTGCCCTTTCCTGGCAGCTATTGGGAATTTGCCTTCGGTCGGGCATGTCCCCCTACAGGCGGATTTTAGACGAAAAATTGAAGCATAGCGAAACAATGCTCAAAACAATACTCGAACATCGTCCCCAGACTATTTTTTACCATTCTTGAATTGTCCTCCTTTAGAGGGACGTGTCCGACTTACAACTTGACCTTGAACGCCCGCGCTGGGGTCGCCGCCGTGCCAACGCGGCGCGGAGCTGCTGGATACCGATCCTGACCACGTCGACCCTGGGCCAAGTGTGGGCCTTTGAAGGGGCCCTGGGACACCCGAATAAATAGGCACAAAGAACTGGATTCCCCATATGTCCTTATCTTTTCTGGGGTTTTTGTCGTCCCCCCCACTTCCCATATTTTCATATCTTTAACTGGAGAGTCGTCGATTGATTGTGTCTGTGTCTTTTTCCATCCTGAGCCTTGCCAGGGTCGATATCGGTGAACAACCTTACCTCATTGATTGTTTCACTCCGCGCTGCCACGCACTCTCCACCCCATTCCAAGGGCCGGCTCTCCAGCCCGAGCCGTTCTGTGAAGGTCCCGAAGCCCGAAGACGGAGCCAGGACGCCGAAGGCGACGAAACATCCTCCGCCTTGATGCTGGCGAAGACGTCAGAGCCTTGGGCCTCCTCCTTCAGAGAAAGCAGCACCCTGGCCCGTCCCCGGGTCACTGCTGGCCAAAGACTCCAGGGAGAATCCCAGCTGTGGCGGCTGCTCGCCCATTGGCGCCAAGAGGGGAAGAGCTGGCTCTCCCGGCGGTGGACAAACCTCCCTGTAATAAACTACACTTTAGTGAAAGCGGCCTAGGACCGAAACCGACGGACCTGGACCCGCAAAAATGACGGCCGCGACGCCCTTTCGCGAACCGAAAACGGTCAATTCGCTAATCGACGTGTCAGGGTAGGAGGTCTATCACCCTCCGATTCTTTCATTTCCACAGATGGGGAGGTGATTCGAATTCCCGAAGGAAAAATGGATTTCCACAGATGGAGGTCTGGGTCGCCGGCGCATCCCGATCATGCTCTGCCCCCCCAGGGAGCCTCGATGCGCCGCGAGACGGGAGGCCGTGAAAAGCGCTGGTTGGGCGGATGAGAAGGGTGATGGTCGGGGGGGGCGAAAGGGGGGGATAGCAAAGGGTAGGGTAGAGAACCAGCTCACGTAGCTGATTTTCCCAGCGCCTCCCGGCGCCGGGAGGCGCCCGTGTATCGAGGAATGGGCCCGGCGGCGGGGCCGAAACCAGCCGCATACAGCAGATTTCGTAACCCCCGTTCCCTATCCCCCCCTTTCGTTCGGCCCGAAAGGCCTGCCCGAGTTGGCCCCCGCCCGGCAATCCTTGTACTGGATGTAGTCGTTCTTCCACTTTGGCAGGGCCAGGCGCTCGAGCTCCTTGCCAAACTTCATGATGCGGGCGGTCTTCGGACAGGCCCAAGAGGGGGGGGCAGGAAGAGGGGGGCTCAATCATCATGGCCCGAGGCATGTGCGCGAACGAGTCGTGGCCCAGGAAGGATAGTAGTAAGGCGATGTTGAACGGACCCTGGGCGGCTTGATGGGCCCGGCCATGATTATTATACGCTTAGGTCGGGCGTGGTCCCCTACAGGCGGAATTTGGACGATAAATCAATAATATTCAGAAACATAACAATATATGTAAAAACAATGCAAAAATACTAAGAAAACAGTCCCCAGACTATGTTTCGACTATTTTTGAATTTTCCACCTGTAGAGGGACGTGCCCGACTGGACTATACACAATCTCTTAGGCCTCACCTGCGGAGAAGCGAGAGAGGGGTGGGAGGGGCGGCAGGCTCCCGGGGGGGGGGGGGGGGAACATCGCCCCGCAGGGAACCGTCGACACACCACCATCAGATCGGCCACAGGGCCCCGATGTCGAAACCACAAGCTCCCAGGGCACGGATGCCCCGATCGGCGATGAATGGTCCTGTGGGGGTGATCCCTCCCCCTTAGCCAACCTGCCGCTGCCTGAGATCCGACGTCACGAACAAGTGCAACTCCTCGTTCTCTTTGTCTTCCTCCTCCCCGTCCTCCTCCTGTGCAACACTGGTGCGTTTTACTTGGGAATTCGTATCGCCTGCCGTTCTGCTCCGGACACCCGCGCTGCTTCGAAGAGTACTGCATCGCAGAACACCACGGCCGGATTCCTGGGCCCCGTCTTTCTGCGGCACTTCTCGAATCCGATCGATCGTCAGGGCCCCCGGGGCCCGCAACACCGGGCGAGCACTCCAGGCTTGATAACAATGCGACGCCCAGATCTCAGGGGTGCCTGTCCCCCCTCTCGTTGCCACTGATGATTGGAGGCTCGAAAAACCTTGGCACCAACATCAATATCCCTGGTGCTGCCTCCACCGGCAGATGATGATCCGAGATTCGGGTGCTGGTGGTAGCCTTTCGGCCACCCAGGAAATCCACATCCCGCCAGAATCGCCGAGACGAGAGCATCTTGCCTCAGCGAATACGATCTCACGGGCGACGAACACATCTGTATCCGCGCCATCGCGGTCTTGACTCCTGGGCGCGATCCCGTGGATAAGCGGTCGCACGGATACGCTCCGCGCCGGGCATCATGGAGAGGACGACCCGTATCCTCGGGGCGAGGCCGCAGATACGGATGTTTTTCGCCCATGACAGCCGCAGATATTGGTGCTTGTAGGTGACGACATGCGAACCCCTTTTGTCCGACCAACCACCGACTCTCCAGAATCGATGGGAGGCAGGGGTCGGGTTCGGGCTTTGTCCCGTGGTCTGGGACGCAGAAGGACATACTAGTACTATGTGTCCTCCTTGGAGGCGCGCGTCCGACCCACACACATATACGTATGCGTAGTGTAGATGTAGTAGATCCACCTTGTAGTACATCGTTTCCCGAGTGGTACGGCCAGAAAGCGCCCGCCACGGAGCTTACACCAGAAGACTTCTCGGCGCGAGGTGTCGCACCTGGCGGGGGCGACGAACACTTTTTCGTCGGCGGCGAGGCGGCGAAATCCGCTCCAGCGAACAGCTAGGTAGGGGCACTGACTAGCAAATTGTGGGGGTGACGGGCACATAGTATCAGCATTTTGGGGGTGACGACGATCTTCGGCGAATTCCGAACCCTGCCTTAGGTCGGGCATGTCCCCCCCTACAGGGGGATTTTGGACGAAAAAAATAATCAAAACATGCTCCAAAAATGCTCAAACATAGTAAAAGGATCGTGCCCATACTTGTTCACTATTTTTTTAATATTCCTGCTGTAGAGGGACATGCCCGACTGAAACCCTGCCCCTGCCGCCCACCGAGGTTTCCCGAATCGTGGATCGGTGGGGGCAGGGCTCGGATATTTCCCCGCCGTGCGGGTGCGTCGACCTGTGGCCGGCGGCGAGCGAAGGGGGGGGGGGAAGTGAGAAAGAGAAGGCCTTCGCAAAAAGGCTGCGAAACGAGGGCCTTCGAAGGGAGAAGTGAACAGAGAACTGAGAGCGAGAAGGCCTTCGAAAAGGAAAGAGACGCCCTCGCGCCTCCCGAGAAGCTTTGTCCGCGCCTTCCGGGAAGGCCCGGGAGACTTCTCGGAAGGCCGGGGGGGACGTCCGAGCCTTCTGAGAAGGCCCGCCCCTCCTCGCTTCCCCCGAGGGCTCGCCGCCCAGGGTCCGGGGCAACGTTGGGCCAAGGCCGCCGCGAAGGGGTGCGAATGCAGTCGCCCCTCGTGGTCTGGGCGATTTCGGGGCGAGGCGCGGGTCCCTCATCCTGTTCCGGGGGGGGGAGGGGGGGGGCGGCGCGAGAGCGCGAAGCTGACCTCGTTTCGCGCTTCGCGCTTCGCGGAGCGCGAAGATACTTGCCCTAGGGGAGATCGGCTCGCCGCCGATCTGGGCCTCCGATGATCGCCCCCCCCCCCCCCCCGCCATCGCTCGGCGTCCACTCCCTGTTCAGTTGTCGATTTCGTGCGCTTCTTCTTTCGTAAGATGATCTAATCTGCTTCTCGATGGCCCGATTGGCCTCGCCGAGGAGAACGCACACGTCCGAGCGCTGCCAAGGGCAAGCGGCTCCTCAGGGGGGGCGGGTCCAGACCGATGGTCTTCAAAGGGTGTGTTGGCGCCAACGTGCGCTCGTCGGCGGCGAGCGAGGGGGGGAAGTGAGAAGGAGAAGGCCTTCTCAGAAGGCTCGGAAGCCTTCGAATCTGTTGAACCATTTTCTATGCTTCTCACTTCCCCCCGGGCTCGCCGCCGATCTGGGCCTCCGATGATCGCCCCCCCCCCGCCCTCCCCCCCCCCTGGCGGCGCGCGCAAGGGGGTGGGGTGATGGGTGGGAGACTCCTTAGAATGAGACCGATGCATTTTGACATTGCCACATCAACTGAGAGGTGCATTTGCAGGCTTGTGCGAGATAATTGGACTCTTGCAAAGATGCAGGCGAGCACAAGCCACTGAGACTTCAAACTCGGGAGGGAAGGGAGGGGGACTAGAACCAAAAAGGCTACACTACAGAGCAATATAGAATGCGGACTCAACTGGGAGCAAGCTCTGGAGATGAGACCGATGCATTTTGACATTGCCACATCAACTGAGAGGTGCATTTGCAGGCTTGTGCGAGATAATTGGACTCTTGCAAAGATGCAGGCGAGCACAAGCCACTGAGACTTCAAACTCCAAAACCCCAGATGCAAGCGTAGCCGTGCCTTCCGACAGCGCAACTATAGAGCTGGGGCGACGATATTGGCCAGCAGTGAGCAGAGCTCGTGAGGATACGGCTGCGCCATGGCCGTGCGCCAAACTCCTTTGGCGTCTTTTCCCTCCAGTATCGTGTGCGAGAGGCCAGAGCACGAGCAGACGGACTTGGAGGGTCGGCACCGCGGCAAAGCAAGCGGTGGCCAGTTCACAAAAAGGATTTTGGTGGCCTTCTTCCAAGGCATCCCAAATTGGCAAAAGTCTGTTACCTGCATGTTGGCCGTTGGCAGGAGCGACAACGACCTGACTTCTTTGGCGAGCCAGACACGGCTCGTGGCTGGATTCTCAAGGGCACAAGGGCAGCCACACTCCGCTGCCAGCTTAAAAATTCTAGCCATCTGCCTCAAAAGTAGATTATGCAAACGCACTTTGCCTGCATCACCGGGCGAGAGATCAGGCAGCCCGTACAGGTGGGTATCATCATCTCTAAGCGGACCTGGCCCTCGCCCGTCCCAGCGTCTGGCTCTGGACCATGTCTGACAAGGAAGACCAAACCAGACGAAACAGATGACACGGTCCACAATCTCTTTTTCCAGCTTGCGTAAAGACTCAGTCCTCAAAAAATCAGCCGCCTCGCCTTGCTCGATGTCCCAGGCCTCTGCTGGGACACCGGCGCAGGCGAGAGCTTGCGAGAGCCTCCCACAGCCTGAGAAGACCTCGACGGCCCGGCACCCCTGGACGAGGCGGCGGCCCGTGGGAACAAAGAGGTGTGGAATGCGTCCTTCAATTTGTCTAAAGCCAGGGCGCCTTTCATGTTGGTGTCGTCCGAGACCTGTGCCTGTTGTTGGAGGAGGCGCCCGTGGGCTTCGTACCGCCTCACCGTGCGATCGGAGAGCCACCGACCCCGCGCCTTGACGCTTGCCAACGATCTTCTCTTGAACAGGATGTCGTGGCTGGGGCCGGAGTGCCTCATGTGGTAAGCGGTGATCTTGAGATTCTCCAGACCGACCTTCTTGGCCGCTCCCAACATAGCCTGGCCGAGGAGCGGGTACTTGAACTCGAAGAACAGCCTGTCTGGTTGCCCCTTCCTGAGTCCTGCCAGCAGGTCTCCCAGCCATGGGAGGTCGGCCGAGTCCAGCACCAGGCTCTCCTCGAAGAGGTTGACCTTGGAAGGGTGCTGATCCAGCTCCTCGTGCATGTGCAGACTCCACAGGGCCGAAGCAGAAGTGCGCGGCGGGGAGACTAGGGCCTTCTCCTTCAACCTCATGGCCTCCCCTGGCCGCAGGTATGCGACCCACATCGTGACCAGCGCCAGAGCCATGAGAGGGGACCCCATGTGGATCATCTCGAGCCACAGCAGCGCGAGCAGGTGCAGCGGGATCGGCGGCCTGGTCCTGCCCGGCTCGAGCCTCCTCCAGCCCCGGAGGGCCTTGCGGGCCCGCGGGAGCACATTCCTCCCGGCCTTCGAGTAGTCGGGGTAGAAGTACATGTACGCAGCCAGCACCTTCGATCCCTCCGAGACGTCGTGCCCCGTCGACCACATGTGGTTGATGTAGTCCGTGAGCACGAGGTCGGGCTGCCTCTCCAACTTGATCGACAGCCGGTTCTGAGCGATCCACTCCTGGAAATCCGAGTGGCGCTGATCGTAATCCTTGTACGTCTTGGTGCTCACCGAACTGGACTCGAGGAAGGTGCCCCGCCCCTCCACGGCCTTGGCCCGGGCGCTGCCCGCCAGCGAAGCGCGGGAGGCTGCCCGGGCCTCTCTCGTGGCGTCCCCAGAGGCGAGCGTCGTCCTCTTCGTCCAGCTCCAGCCACTCCGCGAGCGAGATGGTGGCCCCTGCGCCGGGCGGAGGGTCCGCTGCACAGGCGGAGCGCCGGCGCGGCTCCCAGAGGCGGGAGCCCTCGTCGGCATGGTTGCTCTCTGAGGGGATCCAGCGGTACACGTAACGCGACCCCGAAGCCACTGAAAAGGCTGCGGTCTTACGGCATGACTTGTTGAGAGAGAACGACGACGACCTGCCCTTCTCCATGGCCAGCACAGTCCCCAGATTGTCCCCAAGTAAGAGGTGTCGTCTTCGAAACCCATAGAGGCCCCTCGTAGTATGGCGAACCCCAGAGGCCATGCCGACACTCTCTAGTACTGAGATAGGGCCATCACGACCACGAAACCTTGAGGCATACTGCAGCTTCCAGTCTTCCTTGCCGAGGTATCGCGGGTCGATCTCGGCGAAATCGGGGTTCGGCTCGTACGTCGAAATAGCTTTCGGCTCGGCGATGGTCTTTACGGTGTTGATGTCACTGAAGGGGTCGCCGAAGGCAGGCAGGGCAGCATCGCGAGGTGCAGTCGCAGACGGCAGACGACTCCGATACCTCCATTTCTCTCGGACAGACCCGTACTCCTTGATGACCTCCTGAGGCCAACGCGTAGCAGCAACGGCAAACCCCGACAGGCACGCATCGGTAGCGAGGACCCTCTCCGACCACTCCAGGCAGAGATCCGACATGGTGACCTGGATGAGATACGATATCTGACGAGCCTCGTGAGCGGCCTCAGTCCAGAGACGTCCTGGAGCGGCCCCCAACTTAGCAGCGAAGTCATACATGCGCCTAAATACCGAGAGGCCCGGGCGGAAGATGAGAAAGGCGGCAATGCAATGACCGATGAACCGACTCAGCGCCAAACCTGTAATCCGAGGCCGTCGCGCCAGAGCTCGGGCAGCGGCGGCAATTCGCTCCCTGCGCATCGGATCGACCCAGACCTTCATAGCGTCCCCGTCGATATAGTAACCCAGAGCGGTGAACTGCCTAACAGGACCGAAGACCTC